ATCTTTGGGCTGCTGTCATAACCACATCTGCGGTTGAGAGGCCACAGAAGCGACTCCCGCAAATGCGGAATTTAGACGCAAAAGTGGCCAGCTGAGGAAAAGCAAGGAGCCGCAAGTACGGAAGGGTTCAAGCACCTGCGTAACCGCAGAGGCGGTGAGTAGGTCGCAGGTGCTGATTTTGGGATTTTAATGAATTTCGCAGGTCCGGTCATTTTGCCACAGGAGCGGGACCGCAGGTGTGGTCCCATGACCGCAGAAGCGGATTTGCTAGGCAGAACATATAAATAGTTGCCTTCGCGAATTTGAGTTATTTTCACCTCTTTTCGAACGGGAAGAAGCCTTGGAGAGCATTTTCAAGGGAGATTTTCAGAGGAATTCATTGAGGTAAAGTCTTTGGTCCCTAAACTCGTTAGTGAGGTGATTTTTATCATTATAAGCATGAAAATTTAAGGAAAATCAGTGATAATTTGGGGGTTAGGGTTAGTGATGATTTGAGGGACCATTTGAGGCCCGATTTTGGTATTTTTGGTATGGCTGAACTCATAAGAGGGTGAGGACTCTGGAAATGTAATTTTACCCGATTCCGAGATGTGAGCCCGAGGGGCGTTTTGGGCATTTTACCTAATTTTGCGTATTAGCTTAGAATTTCTTTGTAGAATCAATTACTTGAAGTGTTATTTACATTATGCAATTGAATTGAATAGATTTGGGCCATTTGGAGTCGAGTACATATGGCAAGAACGTGGTTTCGGGTTGACTTTGAGTCGGTTCGAGGTAAGTGGCTTGCCTAACCTTGTGTGGGGGACCTTCCCCTTAGGATTTGATATTATTGATAATTGAAATGCCTTGTACGTAAGGTGACGAGTGCGTACTTGTGCTAATTGTTGAAAAATCCGGTTTTTATTAAGTAATTACTAATATGTTTCCTTTCCTGTTTATATTACTTGCAATTTAAGCCTGTTGTTAGCTTAGGAAAGCATGTCTAATTGACTTAATTGTCTTACTTGTTCAAACTGCCTTATTTGGATTACGTGCAGCATGCTAGGTTAGAAATACATGTTTTACCTTGGTATGGAACTTGAATTGAACTATATACTCTTCTTGTTGTTGTTGTGTGTTTACTTTGGGACTACGGGACAGTATCCCGGGAGATCCCCCTGTATGTTTACTTTTGGACTACGAAACAATATTCCGGGAGATCCCCCTAAACATTTACATTGGAACTACGGGACTGTACCCGGTAGATTCCCCCTATACCGAGTATTTACATTTGGGACTACGGATCGGTATTCCGGGAGATCCCTTTGCATTATGAGTTGGACTACGGGATGATATCCCGGGAGATCCACTGGATATTTACATTTGGGACTATAGGATGGTATCCTGGGAGATCCCCGGTTGTTATCTTTGTGCTGATCTGTATTTCTTCCTGTGTTTGCTTGCCTTTGTAGTAGTTGTTGCTGTCCTTTATATCCCGTGTGTACTTTTACTGTTGTACTTATTTATACTGTTTTATTCTACACTGTTGAACCTTATATTTTATTTCACTTCAGTAGGGCTCTGACCTTCCTCGTCACTACCCGACCGAGGTTAGGCTTGGCTCCAGCTGTGGTGTACTCATGCCCTTTCTGTGCATGTTTTTCATGTACAGATCCAGGTACTTCTACTCAGACTTATCACGCTTGAGATGAGGCGCTTGTAGAGACTTCGAGGTATATGTGTCGCGTCCGCAGATCGAAGAGTCCCTTTCTACTCTCCCTTTTTGTATTAGCCCTTCTGTACTTTCGTTTCTTTGTTAGATATTCTGGAGTTAGACGTTTGTAGGCATTCGAAGGCTTGTGATCATGAGATTCCGGGTTTTGGGAAATGTATTAGTTTTTGAGAGTTGATATTGAGAGCGACACTTTTAAACGCTGTTTATTTCACTATTCTGATCTTTAATTGTTTTCTTCCGCAAACTGGTTTATTTTCTGCATTGTTAGGGTTACCTAGTCGTAGAAACTAGGTGCCGTCATGATGGTTCACGGAGGGCGAACCGGGGTTGCGACACTCAGCTTGCCGAGTCATCACGCCTTCTTTGAATGAGTTAATGAGTTTGGCCTGTTGATGATTGATTACCTAATCAAAACACAGCTGTCCTTTTATTTTCTGTCTGAACTTCAGCAGAGTTTTTGCTATGTTGACTTAGCTTGCTTCTCTATCTCTCTCTAAATTGCATGGCAAAATAATACAGTGAAAAAAGCTCTTAGCCTTCAACGGAAAACAACTTCTCCAGCTATAAATAGGTTTCTCAAATATTTGTAGAATTTGAATAGAGATGGATTCGTATTGGATCAACAAGAAAATGGATCGAATCCAGTTCATATATTTTTGAGCACTAGCTTGGATTGGATTCTACTGGATAATCTGCCAAGCCATCGTTGATGCGAGTTTGTCTCTATATGAGTAATACAGTTGAAAAAGTTGCCAAGGCTGGTGATGGTGACAGTCCGCGGCACATAATGGCAGTGGGTATTGGCTGGTCGCTGCAATTAGGCAGGATCTTTTATCCCAATTATTTTGGTAAAACAAATGTGGTTAAGGAAAAGGAATTGTAATGTTTTATGAAGAAAAACTTTGCTTAAAAAAAAGGAAAGAAGTAACTTTTTGCTAAATTGGGTTAAGATCATTTGATATCCAACTCAATCTAGCCAATGAATGAAGATGCTGATATCTGAGCCCATGTTTGTTCCATGACCAAATTTGATCCAAATTCACTTCCTTTGCACTGTAATACATCTGATCTGAATATTTGTGTATGGATGCATGGTTTGATATGGATTTACCTTGATTGTCTTAGCCATAAATCTTGAAATTGGAGGCAAAGAACCACAGTTCTATGATTAATAATGTTTATACTTCTTTAAAGCAAATAAGAAATTTATAATTTGTCAAAAAAAGGTGAGGTATTTAAAATTTCAATACCGTGATCCATATTTTTTGCTTTTGCAAACTGTCTAATTTGAGATAAGATGAAAAACATCAAGCTGAGCTTGTCATCAAAAGCAGGCTCATCTTCTATCCCCAAGCTGTGTCTTATTTTAACATGTTGGGCTGGGCAAGCCGACCTAGAAGCTTGTGAAACCTTATTCGTACTTCTGTCTACCTTGCTTAAGTATATGGGCACAAAAGTAGAACTTTTTGCTTCCTCAGCAATATCAGCAGTTTTCTATATGAAATTTGGTGAGATACCTTTAGATATTCTAGTACTTTTTGGTTAAACAGACAGAAACTGTCATTGGAGATATCTTTTGGGAAATAGATTATCCGGGAGTATGGCGAATAAAATAACTGTCCACCAAAAAACTTGGCATGAAGTTTATTAATTGAAAGTTAAAACGCAAACCTATAGTTAGCAAAGTCTTTAGAGGATTGACTTCAAACTTACCTGCTACGATGATATTAATTTGAAGTACTGCGCCTGAGCGAATCCCTTTGGTCCATATGATGAAAATAACTTTCTGCAAGTGGAAAGATGGTCATTTATATTTAGCGTGGAGTAACTTTTATGAGTTCTATCATATTTGCTTTTTTGATAACGGTGGTGCTCGGACCAGCTTGAGCGCAGCTCGACTAATTCCACCGAGGACCTACTACCTCCCACCAGCTCCACCAAGGCTTAGAGAGGAGGGACCTCATATAGAATAACTTTGTTTATGAGCTCTATAATATTGCATCTGGACTTCGGCTTTGATCATTGAGGCTCAATGTACATCAGTATTCAGTAAGTAGCTCCTGGTGTCTATTTCTGCCGTCCTGTAGTTACTGGTAAAACCCTAAGATAAACAGGCACTGCAAGGGTGACATGCTCCTTGGGGTCTCATCCTTGATTGAATGAAGGGACACTTCATCCTTTGAGGTGTAAAATAATCAATAATATGGTGAAACTAAATGCCCAATCCCTTTAATTTAGGGAGAGGCAAATAGGCAAGGGAATGAAAGAAATGAAACGCCACTGTAGAATGGCAGGAGTGAGACTGCACTATCCTGTTGAGTGTTGACTCTTCAATTAGGCTAGACTCAGACAGAAAGAGCAAATTGTCTTAAAGAATATAGCCAATATCTCTATAAAATATGGGACCATCTTAATAAAACACCTCTACTCTCAGAACTGTCTTTGCTGGCATTTGGGCATTTGCCTATAATTATATCCTTGTCAAGACTTATGCTTTTTTTTGCTGTTCATAGCTATTTTTTTTTTGGTGAACGTCTTGTTTGCTGGCACATGTAGTTGGAGGTGAACTGACGAAATCAGTTTATGCAACAGTCAGAACTTTTATCAATGAAGTTCCTAGTTTGATGCTTTTCGGTTCATACAAACATCAATCTCAACTTGTCACTTTGCTGGTAACAGGGCCTTATTAACATGTCTGTTTGTACTCCTGCTCTACTTGATAATCGCTGCTTGCTGTGGGGGCATCACTCTACCTTCCTGCAGATCGTCACTCCCGGTAAGCCATTGCTGCCTGCTGTGTCTCTCAGAATACCAAATGCGTTTGGATCTGGACTATATGTGTTACTAGTGAAGGTTCTCAAATAATCTAGTGAATTATTGTTTTAGCATCTTTCGGAGTCCGTTATCTGGAACAGAACAATATAAGGTTTATGCTGTGCTCTTGCATGGGTTTTTGCCTTACATTTTGTGAATGCTGGGAAAATTCTTTTTCCCTCTTGTTCTTCTTACAAGCTGGTAATTGCCCATCCATATTACGTAGTTCAGACATTGATAACTTGAGTTTATATATATTCTTTTTATTTATTTACAACAACAACCCAGTATAATTTCACATTCTTTTTATTTATTTATTTATTTATTGTAAAAGGTAACTTCTTTAAGGAATGTTTTTTTGTAAATGTACAACAGGTTGTAATTTCAGTTCTGTTGAGAGTTTTTGTATCTTTGCAGTAATGTTGCTTAGCTATACTTTTAATCTTAGGAAGTAAACCTTATGACTTCTGACATCTCTTCGTTTGTAGATGTTGCACACAACTCCTCCCACCCCCACCCCCCACCCCCAACAAAGAAAGAGTGTTATCAATCCCAAAAGAGAGCATTTGGTAGTGAGTCAGGATTATAATCTGTGGTTTTTTCCTTTGCTCCTTTTTATTCATGATATTAAGCACTTCCAATTATAAAATAAGATAACTTAAAGGCTATATGAAATTTCATTACATCAATCAAACCAGAAACGAGTTCATAGGGAAAACAAAGGAACAAAGGCATACATCTGATGGATTATTACGCTTTCTATCACAGATTCTTCTAAGAACATAATACAGTCGATACAACTCTAACTGTTACAAGTAGTTTCATTGAAAATTTAATGATAACCAGAAGGTGGAGGACTTCCATATCCTGGTGAGCTAGGGGGTGGTTGGTAAGTGGGTGTTGGTGGCGGCAAGCTAGGGGGTGGTTGGTAAGTGGGGGTTGGTGGCGGCAACTTTGGAACTGGAGAAGGTATTGGAGGAGGTTTATAAACGGGAGAAGGAGATGGCAAACTCGGTGGAGGTTTGTGAATAGGAACATGAGGTGGTATTTTTGGTGGAGGTGAGTATACAGGAGGAGGTAGTGGTGGACTTGGTGGAGGTGAATATATCGGGGTGGGAGGTTGTGGACTTGGTAGAGGATGTGAGTAAATGGGAGTGGGTGGTGGGCTTGGAGGAGGAGGTGAGGGATAATGGTATACAGGAGGAGGAGGTATTTGTGGGCTTGGCGGAGGTGAATACACTGGTGGTGGAGGTGAGTAGACAGGAGTAGGGGGTGGACTTGGTGGAGGTGAGTAGACAGGAGCAGGTGGTGGGCTTGGTGGAGGTGAATATACCGGTTTAGGAGGCACTGGTCTTGGTGGAGGTGAGTAAATAGGAGGTGGTGGTGGACTTGGTGGAGGTGAGTAGACAGGAGCAGGTGGTGGACTTGGTGGAGGTGAATATACAGGTTTAGCAGGCGGTGGGCTTGGTGGAGGTGAGTAGACAGGAGCGGGCGGTGGACTTGGTGGAGGTGAGTAGACAGGAGCGGGTGGTGAAATAGGTTGTGGACTTGGTGGAGGTGAATATATTGGTGGTGGAGGTGAGTAGACAGGAGCGGGTGGTGGACTTGGTGGAGGTGAGTAGACAGGAACCGGTGGCGGGATTGGTGGTGAATAGATAGGAGCGGGTGGACGTGGAGGAACAATTGGAGGCTTGTGAATAGGTGGAGGTTTCACTGGAGGCTTATAAACAGGCGGCTTGACAATTGGAGGTTTGTGGATTGGAGGGATTACTGGCGGTTTGTAAACAGGAGGGGAGCTAATAGGTGGACTATAGACAGGAGGCGGATTAACAGGAGGCTTATGAGTAGGAGGTGGTTTTTCAAGAGGCGGATTCAATGGAGGACTGTAACTTGGTGGAGACACTGGGGTGGGTGGTGTTTCTACCGGTGGAGGAGATACTGGTATAGGTGGTTTTTCTACTGGCGGAGGTTTGTAAACCGGTGGAGGTGACACCGGTACAGGTGGATTCTCGACTGGCGGTGGCGTGTAAACCGGTGGAGGTGGATTTTCTGCTGGGGGAGGCGATACTGGTATAGGTGGATTCTCGACTGGTGGAGGATTGTAAACCGGTGGGGGTGACACTGGTATAGGTGGTTTCTCTACTGGCGGAGGCTTGTAAACGGGTGGTGGGGATGGCGGAGTTGGAACAGGTGGTGGAGGGTAAGTAGGAGGTGTTTGAACAGGTGGTGGAGATGTAGGAGGTTGATGATAAGTTGAAGCTGGTAGCAGTTTCAATAGTGATCTTCTATAGACCTTTGGTTGATGATTATTTGCACAAGACACCTTCTGAGAGGCCCTATATGCTGGAGAAGGATGTTTAGGTACGTTTGAAGATTTTCTCTGTGGACTTGAGGGAGTTCCATAGGTGGAAGATGAAGGTTGTGGTGGTGTATATACATGTGCAGGCTTATTATGCACTGAAAGAGATGCTCTGTATATATGCGAACTCGAGGTTGATGGTGGCAGAAGTGATGGAGCAAAATTGTTGTCCGCAGCAACTTTATTGCTAACCCCAGAACAAAGGTAACTGGATCTTGCGCGCTCCTCGTAGTTCTTGGAACCGTCTCCATTCTGTTGACCTACAAAAACAGAAGAAGAGAAGCAGGAGGAAGGAGAAGAAGAAACAAGATTCAAGTTGTCAACACCAGAGAAGAAGAACACAAGAAAAAACAGAGAAACAGAGAAGGACTTGTTGAATGGAGTCAATGGGTTTTTCATTGTATGAAAGCAGAATTAAATGATGACAACTATAATGAACATTTATTCACAGTATTACTGTGATTGAGTACAGAAGTGAAGGTGCTAAACCTGAGATTTTATAGTGGAGAACTTGAGATACTATTATCAGTTACAAATTTCGTGTCAAGATCAAGGAAGTTTTAGCATTGGATTTTCTGCATGGACTAAAGCTTTGTGAAGACGAATGTCACAGTTCCATGGTGGGAAAAGTAACTTTGAAATTTGCCTAGTTTTCTTTGTAGTAATGAATGAGGTAATAGGTTGGTTAGATGGAGATAAGAAGGTAATAAAGACATTCAGCAACCTTTAGCTTGGAGATTAGCACTGCTTTAGCCTTTTGTAGAGTCGTAAAGCTTTTGAATTAAATGAAGTTAAAGCTTTTGACATTTCTTGAATTAAATGAAGATAAATCTTTAAATCAAATCTGAGAGAGTTTCTTGAGTTCTGAGGTGAGGGGTGGTAAAGTGTACAGAGTACATCTTTTTTGCTTTCAAAACTGGAAATTGGTATTTCATATTTAATGTTCTATGCTTCTATAGTAAACTTGTTATTTGAGTGCATGAACAATGAGATTTCATAGTTTGCTTGCCTCTCCACTGTAAAAACTGAATTAAAGTAAAAATAATTTCTTATCATCAACAACGAAACTCAAGATCAATAGTCGATGCTTTGAAATATCTGCATTTATGGACATTATGATACTTAGGTACCTTATTTGATGAGCATAACATTTTTTTTTTGGTCGCATTGGAATTTTAATGTGCACACACCAACTACTTGGTCTTCAAATATAAATGTAGCTTTGGTGCATATTTATTAGAAACCCGAATTCTTATAGCCTTTTTGGTCCAACTTCTATAATCAGCTTATTTTGAAATGTGTTTTCTCAAAAATACTTTTCCAAAACAGTATTTTTACATTGTCAGCTACTTATTAAATAATATTTAAATAAAGATCATTATTTTTGTTTTATTCCAAAAAGAGCACATTCATTTACAATTACAACATTTTTTCAAAATCATGTACGACTAGTACTCTTCAAATTTTAAATATAGTCCACAATTTAAGGATTTAATTTTGAACCACATTAATTTATCCATATTTCTCTCCCATCATTAATATAAACTTACCATTTTATGAAAGTTCCCGCTCTTAGAATCCCCTTTTTCATTATTACATCAAAACCGTCTAAGTAAATTCACATTTTTATTCCATGTTTAAAGGTGTATATATACATATGTGGTATATTTTTTACAGTGTAATTTTAAATATATACATATGTAATGAATATATTATGTATATTTGCCTATACCGAACTCGTTTTATGTCTATGCAACATATAATTTTGCATACATAACGTATAAACAGATATACATATTCAATATATGTATTATGTATATTTAATGTATAATTATAAATACTTGATGAGATCAATATATAGTTTAAGTATATTTGACATTTGAAATATGTATTCCTTATATACATGTGATATATTTTAAATTTATATTTGATGTGCATTATGTATAAACAATAACATATAAGTGTATAAATATACTATTAGGATATTAAAACAAACACATTTTACTATGGAAATAACTTTAAGTTCACAGATCCATAAAATACTTATAATATTTCATTAATCTAATTATATTTTTATTACTATATATGAAAATAACAACTAAAAAAATAAAATAAGTGCTACTTTTCTTTGGAGGATTCGTACATATATGCTTTTTGGTTGTGACATTAATGTTAGAAGAGAGATGTGTGTTGAAGGTAATTAAATGGGTTGTCTAATCTGATCAAACGTTTTGGTAAAGATGAGTATTAATAGGACTAACTTTTGGTAATTAATAGGACTGATTTTCGGTCCTTTGTTTGATTAGAATCTGTTCACGTAAACTTAATTTTTGGTCCAGCATTATATATTTTGGTCAGGACTGTAATTAATGAGGTGCTAGTTTGTTAATTACTCATTCCTGCTAGGATTTTGAATTTTTTCTTGAATATTGCTTAATTTTTTCTTTAGCTTCTGTTGTTCTTAATAATATTATCTAAATTTTAGTGAATAAAATTTTTGTTAAACTAACGGGACTTATATAGACAGCGCATCGAATAACTTTTTTGTTATGTATTTTTCTTTATTATACTTTCAAATATTTAATGCTACTACATTGTTAATAGAAAGCTTCATTAGCATATTACGTTATTTAATATTTTTCTCTGAAGTTTCTTTATTTCTTTATTTTTGTTTTTTTATTTTCCAATAATTTTAAAACTCCAACTTAAAACTACTCCCCAATTTGAATTGATAATTTATTATTTTTTTAATTTTATTTTTTATTTTAAATCTCACATTTGAAACTACTCCTGATTTGGATGGGTAGTTTTTCTTCTCTTTTTTCGTTTTTTATAGATTATTTTTGCTTTTTAAAAATAATAATTTAAAAGCTCCAACTTGAAAATACTCCCACCCAATTTGAATGGGTAGTTATTTTTTTATATATTTATATTTTCGTTTTTATATTATAGTAAATTATAAGATATCTATATTTATTAATTTAAATAAAGTAACCAATATATATATATATATGGTAGTTTTATATTTGTTTTATTTTCATTTTTCATATATATTTAAATTCAAAAATAATAACCAATAACTAATTATTAATTAAAATAACTACCAATTTGAATGGGTAATTATTTTCTTATATATTTATATTATTATTTTTTTATTATAGTTAATTATAAGATATATTTTTTTATTTTAATTATTTTAAAACTCCAACTTGAAACTATTCCCCGGTTTGAATGGGTAGTTTTTCTTCTGTTTTTTCCGGTTTTTTATAGCTTTATTTTTTTTTTTGCCTTTTGATTTTAAAATAATTTAAAAATTCCAACTTGAAACTACTCCCACCCAATTTGAATGGGTAGTTTTTTTTATATATATTTTTTTTAGTTTTTTATTATATTTAATTATTAATATAGATATAGATAAAAAATCTATATTTATTAATTAAACTAAAATAACCAATTAATATATATATTAAACAATATTTAGTATTCGCTTTCTTTTTGTAATATATGAGAAGATATATAATTTATTACTATTGAATTTTTTTTATTTTAAATTTTATTCTGTTGTTCTTAATAATATTATCTAAATTTTAGTGAATAAAATCTATGTTAAACTAACGGGACTTATACAGGCAGCGCATCGAATAACGTTTTTGTTATGTATTTTTCTTTATTATATCTTTCAATATTTAATACTATTACTTTGTTAATAGAAAGTTTCATTAGCATATTACGTTATTTAATATTTTTCTCTGAAGTTTTTTTTATTACTTTATTTTTGTTTTTTTATTTTTAAATAATTTTAAAACTCCAACTTAAAACTACTCACCAATTTGAATTGGTAATTTATTATTTTTTTAATTTGGCTTTTTATATTAAAACTCCAACTTGAACTACTCCCCAATTTGAATGGGTAGTTGTTTTTCTCTTTTTTTCGTTTTTTATAGCTTTTTTATTTTAAAATAATTTAAAAACTCCAACTTGAAACTACTCCCACCCAATTTGAACGGGTAGTTACTTTTTTATATATTTATATTTTCATTTTCAAATTATAGTTAATTATAAGATATCTTTTTTATTTTAAAACTCCAACTTGAAACTACTCCCCGGTTTGAATGGGTAGTTTTTCTTCTCTTTTTTTTTTGTTTTTTATAGATTTTTTTTTTGCTTTTTATTTTAAAATAATTTAAAAACTCCAACTTGAAACTACTTCCACCCAATTTGAATGGGTANCCCACTTGGCTTAACGAAAAGGCTTTTTCCTCTCCTTTTAGTAATATATAGATTCTGTTGTTCTTAATAATATTATCTAAATTTTAGTGAATAAAATCTTTGTTAAACTAATGGGACTTATATAGGCAGCACATCGAATAACTTTTTTTTATGTATTTTTCTTTATTATATTTTCAAATATTTAATGCTACTACATTGTTAATAGAAAGTTTCATTAGCATATTACGTTATTTAATATTTTTCTCTAAAGTTTTTTTTATTTCTTTATTTTGTGTTTTTATTTTCAAATAATTTTAAAACTCCAATTTAAAACTACTCCCCAATTTGAATTAATAATTTATTATTTTTTTAATTTCGCTTTTTATTTTAAATCTCACATTTGAAACTACTCCCGATTTGGATGGATAGTTTTTCTTCTCTTTTTTTCGTTTTTTATAGCTTTTTTTTTTTTGCTTTTAAAAAAAAATAATTTAAAAGCTCCAACTTGAAAATACTCCCACCCAATTTGAATGGGTAGTTATTTTTTTATATATTTATATTTTCATTTTCTAATTATAGTTAATTATAAGATATCTTTTTTATTTTAAAACTCCAACTTGAAACTACTCCCCGATTTGAATGGGTAGCTTTTTTTCTTTTCTTTTCCGGTTTTTATAGCTTTATTTTTTTTTTTTGCTTTTTGATTTTAAAATAATTTAAAAATTCCAACTTGAAACTACTCCCACCCAATTTGAATGGGTAGTTATTTTTTTTAATATATTTTATTTTTAGTTTTTTATTATAGTTAATTATTAATATAGATATAGATAAAAAAATCCATATTTATTAATTAAATTAAAATAACCAATTAATATATATATATATATATATATATATTAAACAATATTTAGTATTCGCTATCTTTTTGTAATATATGAGAAGATATATAATTTATTACTATTGAATTTTCTTTATTTTAAATTTTATTATGTTGTTCTTAATAATATTATCTAAATTTTAGTGAATAAAATCTATGTTAAACTAAGAGACTTATACATGCAACGCATCAAATAACGTTTTTGTTATGTATTTTTCTTTATTATATCTTTCAATATTTAATATTGTTACTTTGTTAATAGAAAGTTTCATTAGCATATTACGTTATTTAATATTTTTCTCTGAAGTTTTTTTTATTACTTTATTTTTGTTTTTTTATTTTTAAATAATTTTAAAACTCCAACTTAAAACTACTCCCCAATTTGAATTNACTTTG